GATGCAGAAAAAGGAGAAACAACATGCAGCAGAACATTCTTAGTACTTCCCAAACTAATACATTCAAATCGCCTAGAACACTAAAAAATCAGATTCAGATTCAAGTGAGCCATGGTGGGGCCCAACACCCTTCTTTTCCAGCTAGCTTCAGGTATTGCTGATGCTGCTGGTATATGAACTGCACTAGAAGCAACAGAACTTTCTATGGCTTTGCTGAGTGACAAGAGTTCGGGTTTGGACCCAGGAGATCTGATTCCAAAGATGAGGCCTCAGTCTACTGCCTACACACCATCTAGTCTACAACAGAGCAGAACTGGGCAGAAATTACTGTGCCCGAGGAGGGTGGTGCATGCAATGTTCCAGAAACTTGCTTTGCTTATGCAAAGCACATCAAAAGCCATCTTGTAGAAAATGAGGGCACCAAAGAAAAGAGTTGGGAAATTCTATGATGGAAGTCCAAATGCCTAGCTCTCTGGAAACCTCAAAGGTCTCTGAGTCAGGAAAGTACATGTAATGAGGAGAAAATGTCTTCCTCCATTCTTGGCCGGCTGGCCCTCTGAACAGATTGTGAAGAGACAGCATGTCCAGTAGGCTGCTAGGCTCAGGAGGTTTCCTTCAGCCAATTCTGTCTGTTCAAAGCAGGGAATCCTCAAACTTGCGCATGCATCAGATCACCTCAAGGGTTATTCAGCAGGTCTGGATTTCTAAGACCTTCCCAGGGGGTTCAAATGCAGTGGGTATAGGGACCACACTGAGAACCACTGCTCTAGATCACTCTGGCATGAACCAAAATAGCAGGAATGGACAGTGACTAACCCCGACCCACCCCACCCCCACAAAGCCCATGCTGTTGGCTTGCCCTGGATCTCTAAGAGTTGAAGGCTAAGTGGTCTTAAGTCATTCAAAGGAAAGCAAGGGATCAAATACCACCAAAGAACGCAGGAAGGGAAAAATTCTTTCAATCCAGGCCATTTCCTGAGGATGAGCAATTGGTTAATGTACCAAGAGCGCACAGCCTGAGGCAGCGGGATGTGGTACCCAAGTCCAGCGCATGCTCTGTTGGCAAAGCCTCAAACCCTGAGTGTGGGCCGACTGCCTACCTCTGGAGGAAGGTCATCTGACTGATCTGCACAAAAGCACTGCCTGCTTACCAAGTCTTGTGATCGCGGGTTTACATTCTGCCCGGGTGACCCTCCTACCAATTTGTCCATTCCCAGGGCGTATTTTCGAGCGTGAACAAAGGCATTCTCTAGTCTAGTTGGTGGTCCTGCTTAAGCCCCACCCTATGCTCCTGTCTCTCAAGTGAGGCAGGTCACTTGCAGATGGCTCTTTTTCACTCTCCTCTCTCATTCATCTGCTTGTGTCTCTCCATTAAGACAACTGGAAGCCACCTTCCCTGAGTTGGCTTTGTTTTCTGTGGAATCAATCTGCTTAGTCTGAGGATGCATATTCTTTGTGAGAGCAGTCGCTGCAGAGAACCTTTACTAGTCCTGACCCAGACACAGAATGTCCTTCCACCCTGGCAAGATCTGTCTATCTTCAGGAACTACCTAGAGTCTGCAGTTTTTTCACTACTGGGTTAGCGTTCAAAGCACCTCTGAAGACCTCGCCATTTGCAATTCCCCATTCTCTCTGGCCCCAGTCATGACATTGTTCTCTAGACAAAGATAAGGCAAGGCCTGCCAAAAAGGCTGTGATGAGTTCAGGGAAAGCATGAGGACTGCAAGTGATTTGTCACTAGGCGAAGTGGAAATGCTGCTCTTTAATAAAAGGGAACTGGTTGAGCGTACACTAGGCCTGTTTAAAGAAGATATCTTGATACAAGGTCTTGGAAGCCTTTTACATGGTGGCCTGAGCTCCTGGCATGAAAGAAAAGGCAAGATGAGGCCCTGTACTTCCACCTGCAAACTGCTCCAAAAATCTTCTCGCCAAAAGGTATGTGGGTGAAATTCCCATAATCCATCTGTAGTTTTTTTTATTTTTCTTCTAGTGTTATGGCTTCAAAAACACGATGTTTGGAAACTTGCTAATCTTTGGTGCACTGGTTTTCTTAAGACCACACTGGTACCATGTTGGCAAGTCTCTAGAGAAGAGCTTTTGATTATTCTGCATTAAAAGTTAAAAGAAGGCCCTCCCTGGTGGTGCAGCGGGTTAAAGCACTGCACTAAGAAGCTAAAGCCACTTCCACGTGAGTTCGATCCCCGCTGCCCCGGAGGTGACCACATGGCACGACAGACCTCTCCTGTCTCACTGCTCC